GCAATTTATTAAAATCGAACCAGAAGAAGAAAGATAAATTGAATTTAAATATACATTTTTCGAATAGTACTGTTAAAACGACCCATATTTCATCTAAATAAAAAACACTTGCAAATAAATTTAATAAATTAAATTTGAAAATATTTAAGTTTAATATGAGACACATTTATTTTAAATATAAAATATTTTCATATATTTCAATATTGTTTTTCCTATAATTTCCACTCTTAACACAAAACATCAAAGTGTAAGTATTCAAATTGAGGGACTTTTATCTCTGAGTGTATGAAAAAAGAAAATACAAGTTTTAATTGCCTTTATTTTTTCTGTGTAGCAATTTTCTGAGTCCTGTCTCTGTGTCTGCCATTGTTAATCGCACAACAGCTGCCCATCATATCCATGATATCCCTCTCACAATCCACATCCACCCCATCATTTGTATGTGGTTAATAACCCATAATTTGTGCAGGCCCATCCAAGGGCAGTTCTTTCACATACTCGTCCACAGACTTTCCCAACCACTCACTCGATTCGCTGCTGATTCTTGACTTGACTTTGAGTGTGAGTATTCATTACACACATATACATACGCAGAAGAACTCAAGGCTTGTAATTGATATGAGAAGCAGAGGAAGGAAGACAAAGAGAAAGAGAGAGAGAAAGACAATTAATAGCAGGCCTCGAAATGGCGTATACGTAACGTCCTACAAAATAATTATAACCATATTAAAATGTTCCGCAAAATGGTCAACACTTAACCTCAGCCCCTGGCCTGAACCCCAACCCTGGCCCTGACTTTGGTTTGAATAATTCAATAACAATTTACAATCAATTAAAATGACTCGCAAAGATTAAAAATCTCAGACATTGGCCATGTTTATTACGTGTGATTCGGAGTGTGTATGTGTGAGCGTGGTCGTGCTTGTGTGTTTGTGGCCCTGTCTGAACTCAATTTAGCGTTACTCATGGTCCATTAATTTGCCATTTTCATGGTAGGTGCAATAAAGTGCAAAGGGAACAAAGGCAGAAGGCACAAGGCACAAGGAAGAAGGGAGAAGAAACATAAGCGAAATGAAACGAAACGAAACAGAAGAGAACAGAACACCCACCAAAAGTCGACACCATCAAGGACCCAGAAAAAGGGTCACTTCCAGTCGACAGGAAAGGCAGAGGCACAACACAACGAAAGCAGGCAGCACAAAGCCCTCTAACTGTCTCGACCCCTCTCAACGACCAATTACAACTAAACAGCTTTAATTTAATTTGAGCCCACCCTGGTAACTGGTCCGTTCGGGCCTACCCACAGTCCCTCTTCAGCATCCAACTCCATCCTCTCCATCCTGATGCCGCTGCCGCTGCGGCTGCTGCTGGCCAAGAACAATGGCGCGGATGTAATGTTCGCATTATGCTCGTTCACAAATTGTAAGCAGCCATTATGTTTCTTCATGTTGCCCATGTTTCCCATCGCCCAAGCCCCTGCAACGGCCAGTCTTCCCCTGTGTTTTCCGCATTGTAATGCCCATGGACCTGGGAAGCCTGGAGCCGAACCCCGCCCTAACATCAGGCTGGCCCTGCCGTGTTTTCCATTGTTCCTGTCGGCCTCTTCCTCCTCGTGGCTGTTCCCTTGCTCCCCTGCTCCCCTGCTTCCTGACTCTGCTCTCTGTCATATGTCAAAATAATGGCGGCAACGGGCAGTCATTGCGTTTGTTTGGCACTGCCCATGGCCACCAGCACAATCCACACCTGAAGGGCTCTCCTGGCGGGTTGTAAGACATACAAGACCCAAACCAACATTTCTAACATTACTTTGGCTGGCTCCAAAATTGTAAAGATTTGGAAGGTTGGAATCGATAATTCGACTGTAAAACACATTAATTACTACTGAAGATTTGTAGAATTCTGATGATTAATCTTTATAGAAGCTTGTCACATGCATTTCTAAGTACCGTAGAGGGATTGCTGTTGAGACAACTTCAAATGTATTAAGCGTCCCCTGAAGTTAACCCCTTTGAGAGCTTTTCATTTACTTGAAACTGCTTCTCAATTTAGTTTATATACTCGTAAAATAATAATAGAGCAGGCCCAAATGGTGATGACCACAAGACAGATTTGGCAATCCGTTAAAGCAGAGGCACAATCTACACTTTGCGGTCAAGAGCAACAAGTGGAGGAGTCCGAGTCCCCGAAGAAGTTTGAAACAAATGTGGTTTGATGTGGGCACAGTGGTCACTCGATGTCGATTGCGTTTTGGGGTCACAGAAATAAAACAGTTAATGACACGCACAAGACACAGACAGAGTCAAGTATTTAGTTGATGAATTTACTTACAAACTCCACATTAAAGCAAACAATTTGGTGTTTAAGTAATTGAGTGTGGAACTGGGTGAGGAGAGTGATGGTCGGACAATGAAATCATCAGCAAATTACACAGCCCAGTGATTAGACCTATTCAGTTGAAAATTCGATAATCGACAATTGCGAACCGGGGAAAACCACAAGAAACTTCCGACTCTACGCCTTGACGTCTGGCACTAATTAGGCTCACTCAAAATGCAATTTAATAAGCGAAATATTGAAACTGAGTGGCAAACTTCCAGCCAATAAAAAGGAAAAAGTTAAGGTAGGTGGAAAATTCGAGGCAGTAACTAAGCGAAGAAAATTCCCCTGCCATTCTGCTAGTTGGAAAATAACTTTGTTTGCTCTCCGATGGTTGGCTTCGTATTTGTGCCAATCAAATTTTGTCTTTCAGTTTTTGTTTGCCTGCCATTTGCAAAAACATTTTTCGCAATTCAATTTAACCATGGCATGACTTTTCAATCCGCCAAATCAAACACACTCCGATGGCCATAAATTCTCGGACCACGTAATTTCTGCGCTTTATTTATGCATCAATGGCGTGATTTATTTGCCGACACTCTTGCCCAGACCAGACCGCAAGCGTCACTTCAAGTGTTCATTGTTGTCTACACTTGTCTTGTTTGTCCTATATCCCATGCCATAACACACCATACCATACCGATATCCATCCATACATATGTATGTGATTTTTGCTGTTGTGTGGTTGAATATTCCTATATAAAAAAAAACTATAATTCATTGTAAATAAAACAAGAAAAACACAATTATTTATCACGGAGCAGACAGACATCAGCCTGATGCCCAGAGGCTCACTCCCAACACCCAGGAGCCCCCTATCCCTGTACCATCCTATTCCATACTCGTACCTTCTGCCCACACAAACAAAGAAATTCAACAAAACAAATGTCAGTCAGCAGACAGAGAGACAGAGAGGCAGGGGCTTGGGCCTCAGAACTCTGTCTGTCTCTGTGCCGCGCCTACCAAAGCGGCTCAAAGTTTCGGGCGACAACAAAAACACAAATCTTCTCGTTCTTTTTTTTTGTTTTTTTTTCTCGGATGAGGAGACTCTCTTTTTGGCTCTGGGTGACGGCCTGACAGGACAGGGAACAGAAAAAGGGACTGGGGAAGTGAGCTGACACACTGGGGCTGTGGAGCCCCGACGTTCCGAGTGTTCCGGAGCGAGTCTGGGCGACATATTTTGTGCTAAATCTTCTTGTTCACACTAACGCGTTGCTGACAGTTTTTCTTTCTTCATTTTTGTTATTGTTTTTCAGCTGCTTTTGTCTGACTCTGCCTGTGTGCTGCGGCTATTGTTGTTGCTTTTTCACAGATTTCAAGTGTGACAGTCAGTCCGTCAAGCAGGCGTCAGGGCAGACACAGTCACTCAGAGTCGGTGTGAAATATCTCGGTAAATGACCAAAACAAACACCCCCGCATTCAAAGCACTTGTTATGTCAGGGTCACACTGTTCCCCCCTGTAATCTGTGGTTGGTCTGGCAACGCTAGCGATCATGCCGACGTTTGGTTTGTGTCTCGGCTCTAAACTGGTTTTCGCCTCAATGGATGCTGCGAGATGTTCGTTTGTGTATTTGTTGTTGCTGGACTTTACGCTGCTGTTAATTTGGCAGTTTTTCAAGCGCTGACATTGACCTAGATTCCGTCTGTCGACTGCCAACGTCTTCTGGCCCGCTTTGCTGCCTCATTTGCCGCTTGGCAACTTTTCTGCCTGACTCGATCGAACAATGCTCGTAAATGTTGAGTGCTAATTGCGGTCACTAACATTTGGCGGCCATTCACACAGCACAGCAGCAGAGCGGGCAAACAATAGCAGCAGCCATAGCAACCACACAGCAGCAGCACAGTAGGAGCAGATACTCGATTCATCTTTGAAAATGCATTTGCATTTCGTTGGTGGCTCTGCCTCTAGAAACCCCAAGCCAAAGCCCCAACAACCTGCCCTCCCATCGACCACATTTGCATATTCGATTTCTGATTTCTGTATGCCTCAGTGTGTGTTCGAGTGGGCTGCTGCTGCATCTGATTTTGGGTGTACCATACCCATACGTTAGTTTTTAATCATTTAGCAGGAACCTAATGCGCTTAGTCGGAGAAAGCGCATCTCATCTCTAATTATACGAAACATAGGCATATGCAGATATTCCAGAACTCATTATATTCTCCATGGCTAATTTGGGAATTATTTTGTTTTCAATTGGAAAGCTTTGCAGTTGGATATTTTCATTGTCTAATATCTGTTCCTCATGCTTAAATTTCGAATGGATAATAAGGTTTTATACACGATAATTAGTCTTCGATATGAATTGAAATTCTATTGAACATTTGGGCACGGCGTTTTGGACAATATGTGCCAAAGATATGCCTGACCTCATAGTATTCTTTCTATTTATGAAGATATGAAGAATTCAATAATTTTCAGGCTTAAATATTAAATATTATTCAAACCCTATTATAAATATAAATGGCTTTTTAATTTGTAATCAGAAAGATTTGAAATATCTCCACAGTTCACGTAGGCCAATATAAAAAATAATTAGCCCCAAAATATTCCATCCTTTCATCCTAAGACTGAACACACTTAAGACTGTGGGGTTCTTTCGTATAATATATGGATTTGCACTCACATGGACCCCTTGGGCACTGTCATGTTCAGGCCGTCGAGCACGACATTGGGGTTCTTGGTGCTGCCGTACATTTTGTGGGCCCGCCTCACACAAACCGCCTGCTGGCGTCGTGTCGCCAGTGTCGAGGGCTGTGAGATGAAGAGCCGGCGACGGGCCGCCAAGTCCAGATCGCTGTTGGCCGTTGTTGCTGCTGCTGCTGGCGCCGCTGGCGGCAGTCCATCGGCGGCTGCATCCATGTCGAAGCAGTCTGCAAATAGTGCATAAATCGATATTAGTATTGTATATGGGGTTGAATTGAAATAAAAGAGCCTAAAATTGGCACAACGCTTGCTTGGCTTTGCCCTGGCATTGTTAGTCATTGTAAATGGCGTTGCTGTTGCTGTTGCTGTTGCTGTTGTGCATTGACAAGGAAAGTGAATATCGATAGTGATGGCTCGACAGGCCCCACGCAACGAGAGGAACTAGCGTGAAATGTATGTATGTGTATTCTTTATACCTAGAGCTTAAGGGGTACTTTTTTTTCTCAAATAGGTTGCCAGTGTAAACAAATAGCTGTATCTCAAACTATGATAGCTTTTCTAGATCAATCTATCATTTAACTAAAAAAAACCATCACAATAGTCTCTTAAGTACAGACAACTCGAGCCATTAATAATTAATATTATATTAGATGACCAATTTAATTCAAGGAACTGGAGTGAAATTATTACTTTGATCCTCGTATTCTCTGATTCTTTAGAGTATGTATTTCTTCCCACATCATATATGTATGCAGTCTGTCTCACAATACTTGTTTATTGCTGCTGCTGTCGCTGTCGCTGTCGCTATCCCTAACCCTGTCACTGTAGACCCGCCACGCCCCACCTCTAACCTTTGTCGTCCGTTGGTGCAGGCTATTTTAGCTGGTGTCGTTGCTGCAGTTGTTTCACAGTTGATTAAACCAATTTTTGTATATCGTCAAGCCAGGACGGACTAGGAATAGAGAAGAGCAGGCGAGCGAAGACCCGGTTAGAAGCTTTAGCCTCGTGATGGATATTGCTGTCATGTAGATTCGACCCCTCCTCGATGTTGCTGCTGTTGCTGTTGGATGCTGCTGGATGCTTCTGGTCGCTGGCTATTGCCAATTTTTGGCTCGAACGAAATCAAATTTTGAAAATGGCTTCGCTTGTCGCCAGAGACCCCCATGATGCTCTCCAACCCCTGTCCAGTATTCAGTGTCCACTGTCCTGCATCCTCTATCCTCGGTCTAACTGCCATTGGCCCTGCCCTGTGTAGTGGCATTTGCCAGTTAACGACAATTTGGCCAAGTGCTTTGGTAGTTGGTTTTTATTTTCGTTTTCATTTGAAATTGACATTTTGCTAATCGAAAATGCAGCAAACAATTTGCCCGTTTGGGGCAAAAGTTTTGCAATTATTTTGCCCCGCAAAAAGGTCCAAAATAAAATCCGAAAGAAAACTGAAACAAAATCCAAAGCCAAAGCCCGAATGCCATTTATTGATTTACTTCTCCACTAACAATGGGCCTGTTCCAGAAACAAATAAATAAAAATAAGCATACAAACAACTAAGTAACGGAAACAACAACTGACGGGATGTGGTTTTTTTCGTTGGGATGGGTTTTGGTTTCAGTTCGGTTTCGGGTCGGGTCGGTTCTGTTGTGTTCTGTTGTGTTTAGTTTTGCCTTTTTTGGCCGCTCCGGCTGCAAGAAATAAACTTTCTTGATAAATGACTTCAATGTAATTAATTTCTGCTCAGCTCGCTTGCAGCCATCCCGTGGCAAGGAGGCGACCCAGACAATGGCCTGGCACTGGCGCGCTTTGGGTTTGGGTTTTGGTGTTCTGTGGCAAAGAGCAACCAGAAAGCAGCAAGCAGCTCATGAGCTATGCCTTGGCAGTGGCAGAATGCTGTCATTGCTGGTTAGCCTCCGTCCTGGATCTCCTGCCCTGCAGCATTTCAATTAAGAATTATTGTTTAAAGATGTAAGTAGCCAGCAGCTGGCTGGGTCGGAGTAATCATCATTGTTTTTCCCCGAATGAGCAATGGAGGATGGCCGTTGGACTGCACCCAAAAGATAGTAGCTGCAGCTTTTGTTCTAAGCAGATTATAACTGAATTAGTGTCAGAAAAGCACTGCATTTGAGTCGGAGATCATGTCTCTTCAAGGATTCCCCACTTATTACTCATACGTCGTGTGGCTTGGGTCAACCGCTGACGAATTTTGTGTTAATTAACTTATTTGTAAACAAATTAATATTCACGGCACAAGAATGACCCATGAGATGTGCCCAGGGAATCTTGGCCTCTAATTAAAACTTTATCTTTCTTCTTAGACGAGACTGATTGGGAGACACCGCACCAGCCGCAAATTTAATCAAACAACTGTAAAACTAAGTCCATGCATAAAACAACCAGATTTCTGTAGAAAGAACAAACAATAAAAGTTTTGGTGCAATAATTTTTCCGGTCACGAAATAAAAGGTGTTAGTGGAAAGCCCCTTCGCCATGACAGGGGCAAAACCTTTAATGTAATAAACAAAAATGGAGGTAAGAAAGGGAAACTGTTTGCCAAATCTTTAAACTTGTGCTTGTCCAGAGCGGGTATCTCCCTCGGATATGGGACTCGCATCGGCTGCACAGATTTGTATTCGCTTTCTGGCAATCTTTACGGGGTTTTTGTAAGAGAGTTCTGCTAAGGATGGTGGTCGGAAACAGGTGCCGACTTGGCAGGCAGAAGGAAATAAATAAAATCACACATAGCCCGGGATAAACCGAGGGAATTGCCAGTGGCAGAAGGACAGCAGCAGGGGGAGGGAAGCAGGGACAGGTGCGCACATGCATGAAAAGTAAAATATGTTTATATAAATAAAAGACAGTAGCGGGGGTAGGAAGGAGGCAGGATGGCAGGATGGCAGGATGGCAGCCGGGAGGCCCAGACACCGAACAAAGTTTGAAGTTCGGCAACATAAAGAAGTGCAAATTGTTGCGTGCTGCGATTGTATCTATCGAATGTGAGCACACGAAAGCTATTTCCTGCCAACAAATATAAACGCCGCAATAAAAAGGAACACAACCTCAATGCCAATGGCCACGCCCATAAAGCAGGCGCGACAATGAGTGTGCTTGTCCAGAGCGGGTATCTCCCTCGGATATGGGACTCGCATCGGCTGCACAGATTTGTATTCGCTTTCTGGCAATCTTTACGGGGTTTTTGTAAGAGAGTTCTGCTAAGGATGGTGGTCGGAAACAGGTGCCGACTTGGCAGGCAGAAGGAAATAAATAAAATCACACATAGCCCGGGATAAACCGAGGGAATTGCCAGTGGCAGAAGGACAGCAGCAGGGGGAGGGAAGCAGGGACAGGTGCGCACATGCATGAAAAGTAAAATATGTTTATATAAATAAAAGACAGTAGCGGGGGTAGGAAGGAGGCAGGATGGCAGGATGGCAGGATGGCAGCCGGGAGGCCCAGACACCGAACAAAGTTTGAAGTTCGGCAACATAAAGAAGTGCAAATTGTTGCGTGCTGCGATTGTATCTATCGAATGTGAGCACACGAAAGCTATTTCCTGCCAACAAATATAAACGCCGCAATAAAAAGGAACACAACCTCAATGCCAATGGCCACGCCCATAAAGCAGGCGCGACAATGAGTGGAACTTGTGGGGCACGAAGGAGAGCCCCAAAAAGTTTTTTTCGGCAAACAAACAACAACAACAACAAGAGAAACAAGAAAAAAGTTGTAAACTGAAATGATTATCTGGTGCCTGACACTTGTCTAGCCATAGATACACACGTATCTGTATCTGTATTCTGTATTCTGGGATTTGTTTTTAGGCAGCAGGTAAGTAACCGAATGTTTAACCCCAAAACAGAATGCGAGTCACATCCTCCTCGGGGGCATTTGGTTTACTGCGATTTTATTGGTGCGTACGCGTATGATGTGCGGCATAAGTTTACGGTCGACTGGCTCTTTGTAGCATTTATGATGTCTGTTTATGGCTGGATTAGAGTTTACCTAGACATTGTACCATAGATCAGAGATAACAAAAGTCATGAAGCGTAAGTATGAGGCATATATCGAATCAGAGGTTATATGGATTAAAGTAGATTACTGATCTACAAGAGCCAGAAAAACGAATACTTGGGGAATTGTTAGTTTTGGGAGATATATACATTCGTTATTGAAAAAGATTCTAAGAGTCTGCTTAGACCTTTCACCAGCTCGGATGCTAGAACTCTTTCCAGAACAATTTTTCCCAATCGATTCGCCTCCAGGGCTCCTCCTCCAAATGTGCATTCGCTTTGGCCCTCAAGTTTCTTTAAATATATTTTGAAAGCACTTTCATCTGCTTGAACGAATCATTTGATTGCCAAGGCAACGGACAATGGACAGACCGAACTGAGGCTCTGCTTCCGCCTCATTACCAGGCACCAATTTCGAGGCGACTCGTGAAATGGGCCAATGGCAGGCCAGGCCCCACATCTTACCAAAGTCATTTGCATACACAGTAGTGGGGGACAACGACAACTCGTTGAAGACTAATAAATATTTATATTTATTTTCAGTTTTGCACATACAAGGCACTCCTCACCACAAACTTTGTCTCTTTCATGAGTTGCCCTCAAACACTTTCAACAACAACAAAAAGTAGAGAAAAAAAGAGAATATAATAACAAATTTCAACAAAATTTTACGCTCAATAAATTTGCACAACAAAAAATGCTGCCTGGTCATCGGCGAAAAGTGCGCTCATGTGTTAGTAATCCCCGGAACAGGGTTTAACATACTCGAATACATATGTACACTCTTGCTCAAACGAAACAATTTCTAAAACAGTTAGCAAGTAATTTGGCACAAGTCAAGAGCGGATTCTTTCAGAGATCAGCCTTCAATGCTGCTGCCATAAAGCGTTTAACATAATTTCTTTTGGCCACATTGTGTATACGCCTTGTGTGCACAGCAGCCCAGACTCAGACTCAGACTGAGACTTAGACTACGACTACGAAAATTGCATAGGCAAACTGGCTTAAATGGCTAATAACAAATTGTTTGCATTTAAATTTTCATTTTCATATAATTTTCATGTTCCCAAAAATTGAAAAGCCCTCACACAACTTAATCAGAAGAACACACACACGAACACTCTGGTAGACAGACATTTGGGCATATTTGTTTGCTGGTTTAAATTCTGTATCCTGGCACACAGGGGCTGCAGGCAAAATATAATTCTGAAATACAACAAACAATT